GTTGCTGCCGAGTTATCCACGGGGACTATCTTCGGAGTAGAAGCAGCAGAAGCCGAAGACGGACTGTTTGTGTTTCCGCTAGTAGAGAGGGCGGGTTTCTTTGTCGTCTGAGACTTGAGGGCGCGCAGATCCCCGCCGGTCTCCTCGAAAAGCAAAGCTCTGACGAAACCAGCGATCAAGACCCGTGCCTCGACCGCTCTAGACAAATGTTTCTTCTTCTCTTTCCGCTCGGAGCTGGTCAGGGAAGCAAGGCCTAGCTTGCGCCTGGCGGCTCTCAGCTCTCGAGCAGTCTCCGGGGCTAAAAGCTCAGCGGCAGTCCGGACCGCTTTCACTGCCACCGCGTGCAGAAGCGTTGCCGGGTCAGCCGGCCGACTCACTGAATCATCACCAGCGCTAAACCTATTGTTGCTGCTGTTCCTGCTGCTCTTTTCAGCAGCCGTTGCCGTTTCAGAGTATTGCTTTCCCATGCTCCGTGGGTTTCCTGCGTTCCCGTCGCTACGCGTGTGGCAAGGCGCGGGGATGTTTTGAAGATCGCGCAAGCCCCCGACAAGACCCCGAACAAGCGCTCGGGCTCCCACGAACCCGCTGCTTAAGAGCATGGCCTCGAGAATTAAAGGAACATTCGGCAGTACCGTAAGGACCGGGCGGAACGCGGAACGCACAGACAGGGGTAGCTGAGGGGCCGGCCCTGTTCGTGCTAGAGTTGCGAAAACCCCGAGGAAGGGCCCGCCGCCGCCACCGCCGGTGGTGTTGTTGTAGCAGTTGCCCGCGCCTGCCGCCCTTTGCCTGCCCCATGGAAGGAGTCTCCATTGATGTAAGATAGGGTCGAAGTTTGGCAAAAGATGGGGTGTAGTGGAAAGCGGCACCTGTGGTATTGTGAGGACGAATAGCGGAAGGCGCGACAGGGCAGGGTGAGTGCGACTTGGTTTGCTGGTGAATCCAGACAAAGACCGACACACAGTTGTAGAGACACCGTGGGAGAGGGCGGCGTACAGACAGGTGTACAGGGTCGAGGAGGGAGTAGTGAGAACGCGATTCGGGACTCAAAGATGAAGCGAACGGGGAAGCACTATCAAATTATTGTGCCGGAGAATCCTCTCTTTGCTTTGCCAGGCGATGTTTGATGTTGTTGCTGGTTTCGTCAATCGTCGTCATAACATTTAGACCTGCTTGTGCTCTCATTCCGGGATCTCTTCGTTGATGCTCTTGAAAAGCATAGAAACCTATTGCCCCGTGGCCATGAGCCAGCCAAACGAATGTACAGGTACCATAAGCAAGCCCGTTCCCAAGGAGGCTACGACACAACGTTCCAGCCTATTCTATGCATTACCAGGCTCAGGAAGCATGTTTCAACACGCAAGACCCACCGAAAACGCATTCATCAGCCTGCCTTGGGACCTGCCCCGCATTTCCGTCCAACACGAACACTCACTTCTTCACCGTTGACAAGGACCTTCTCTTGCCCCGCATGCATGCAAAGCATGACCGCCCGTAGGCTCTCAGCGAGCACAGCCAGAGACACCTTGGGCAGCTCATCGACTCCCGCGAAGACCGTCACTCCTCCCGCCATGAGAGTAGAAGCAATGACGCTGCTGACAGCCTGATTTGTGGGTTGGTTGATTTGGTCACGTTAATTACGGCGGGAAAAATTGGTGTAGAGGGCACGCTGACGTAGACATACAGCGGAGATGAGGATGGTGAGGTGCACCTTCAGGAGGGAAGTGATAAACGTTCGGAGGTGGTTGACCTACTGGTTGATGCGCTCCCATCAGGCATTACCTACATGGTGAACAAACCTGCACTCCATGTGATCTGAGTTTCAATTGAAATGTTCAAAGTACTGACTGGCCCTGCGCAGTTTTTCTACAATAAAGGTAGACCACCATCGCAACTCGTGTGAAGCAGCTGTATCACCCTGACCAGTGCAAATGAGTACAGAAAGACTGCCATACCCTCTTCTGCGGTCGTGCACTCGACACTCTTGAGTAGGTTGTTCAACGTGACCAAATTCTTGTTGATGCCTCTTAGATGTGAGTCAGACCAACCCTTCGTTCAGTGAAAGGGGGTTGCTTCACTCGCACAAGTATTGTCCAAAATACCTGCGGGGATGTGACGCAGCCGGAATGTAGCTGGCGGAATGGTCGGCCGAAAGCAGTAGCCACATCAAGGGCCGCTGTCGATACATCCACTGGGGACCGGGGCGTTGTGAAGAATCTGCCACTAGTCCCATCGAACTGTCGACTGCGGTGCCTTTGGGCAGATGTTGAGACAAGCAAACCCCCATAGAGTCCCTTTCGGCGGTCCGACGCAAGACAAGGGTGGGAAAAACATTCAACAAGTGTAGATTTTGGTGGACAGCTGATTGTAGAGAGCTTCGGTGAGGACCTCCCTGTAGACACAAGCCTGCTTCACATGCTATCGAGTAAGGGTCATTCTAGAGTAGTGTCGATGACAGGCCCGATAAATAGTAGTTGCTGAGATAACACACTAGAGCTCGTGAGTGCAATGATTTTCCCTACCCCCGGCTGCTTCACCTTCGCAGAGTGCACGGCGTGTAACAAACACCTCTCGGACAATGGTGTAAGCCACAGCCTCTCCAGAGTGCCAGCGTATTCGAATCCATACGGGACGTTCCATGGTCCGACGCTGACCCGAATCAGCGGCGGTGGTGGCGGCGGCACCGAATCATTTTCCTGATCCTCAAGCCCTCCTCGTCCTGCCTTCTTGGCCCCACCACCACCAGCAGCGCCATGATCACTCCTGTCGTCGTTGTCGTTGTGCAGGTTGCTGCTCTGCTGCGCTCGGCCGTTCAGGGATTGGGCTTCTTCGGGAGAGGCGTAGTAGTGGCGCAGATGGCAGGCCCACAAAAATGGAAAATAATTTTCTTCTTCGTCGATTCCATGCTCTCGTTCCCGATGCCCTTTGATTGAGGAAGGCGTCAACCGTGCCGTGGGCGATGAGGGTGGCATACCGCTGGCTGCCGATGTGGCAAGGGTTTTTCCTGCCTGTCGCCCTTGCCCGCCAATTTCCGAAGGGGGCGCAGGGGATGGCGATGGCGGTGGCATTAACACTGTCTGGAGAAGCTCTTCTACAACGTCCCGCTGCTGGAGCGCCTGGGTCGCGAGCGCTGTGATTGTGAGAGAATCGTACGCGGTTAGTCCATCGGGTTGGCTAAACTCGCCCGACCAAGCGTTTAGACTCAGGAGGAGTAACTCCAGAACATCTTGGAGCTTGTTGCGTTCCGGCTTATTTGTAGCCGCGCTAGCTACTGCGGCGCCACCACCACAGTTGCCGCCGTCGGTTGAATGCAATGGCTCACTAATGGTCGTGCAGGCCAGCACTGATTCTATCTGGGCGGTCCAATGGGCTCCCCGGGCAAGCAGTTGTCCCTGCAAGCTTGGTTGACGCCCCGTAGTCGTCTGCTCCCCGTTTTTCCCGCCATCTCCGTCACCACGAACCGCATAAGGGTCAACGCCGCTTCTCTCACTGGTCGCAGTATTCGCTGGTTTGTTCGAAGAAGATGCTATTCCTGACCTTGGCTGTAGCCCAGGGATAGCGTTGAGGCCGCTGGGTCTCAAGCCAAGGCGACAGAAAGCACCCCCCACCTGGTACTGGCGAAGAGAATTCGCGGCGATCTCCACATCTTCGGCGATTGCAGACATCAGCTGCCGGTCGAAGTCCCGGACCCAAATTTCTAAGCGGCCGACGGCTGGGATGGGGGACGAGAACAGTACTGCCTCGAGGCCGGCGCCGCAGCAGCGGACACCAGCGGCTGCCATATGGGTCCTAACGGTGGTCCCGTTGGTCCTAACGACCTGTTTGAAAGCAAGCCGAAGGGGGAAGCAGAACGAGCGACCTGAGGGTCGGTATTCAAGAGAAACACTGCTCTTCGTGTTGTGGCATCCATCGCTCAGACAGGCACACCATGGATGAGCCCTTCCTGGGTATTCCAGGAGCCGCACGCGTAACCAACCGGCCAAGAACCATATGTCTTGTCTGAAGGGAAATACGCACCTCCTTCCACAGAATTTCCCCAATCCCTCGGAACATACACCCGACGCGCTCGTTCGTCTCTCCTGCTGCTGTGCCAGACCCGACGCGACCCGCCGCCCAGTCGCGAAACAGCCTGAAGAGATGATGGCGAGGTAGTGCCAGCAGGCGGGGGCACACAGCCGTGCGCGAGCTTAGCCACCTGTGGTTCTCAGGCAGCAGTAGCAGCAAGGGCGAAGGGGTGGGCGGGAGATCTGGTGACGTGTCCCGTATGTCCTACCCCCACATCATGTTCGAGGTTTCGCCGTTGTGCACCAATCGACAATGAGCATTGCTCCAGCCGATTGCAAAAGCACACAATGCTAAGTTCTATATATTGATCCGCTTGTGATCACTGCGCCTCGTACTCACAGTCTGGGTTGGGCCTATTCTCCGGACTTCGGTGTTCTCGGTGGCATTCCTGCCTAGAAAAGTAGCGCTAGATATCTCGACCAACGTTTACGAGGAGTCTTCTTGTTCGTTATTCTCTGTTCATGTGAAACGTGCCTGTCCATAGTGATGGATGCGCCCTCCAAGTCGTCTTGGAGTTTGCGGACTTTTGCGAGCAGGCTCCTGCCCCCTCTTTCGACCCCTTGCTGTTTTCCTGCTAGGACAGTCATGCACGTGTCTGCTCGAAGCGTCCCTAGGATGTTCTGGAATGATCTGTGTTTTGGACACCACGAGTACGTTGGGAGGGAAGGGGGGGGTGTCGGAAACGACACGATGAGAACGCACAGCACCGATGTGGTGAAATGTGCTGAAAAGGAGATCCCATTAGTTCGTTGGATCCTTGAATGATGGCTTGGATGAAGGTACGCAATGAACGGCTTCTTGGCCCGTGGCATATTTCGGTCTGTGACAAGCTTAGTGTGCACCCTAGTCTAGCCATCACGGGAATGGGACTGACGCGTTACCCGAACTCCGACGAGGGTCGACTCCATTCCTGAACCCACCATATCCCCGAACAACCCTTATCCCTACCACTCAAATATAATGTCGCTCACCCCGAAATGTCCGTGAAGCGCACCCTATCATGCGCTGGGACTCCATCGTCGAAGTGTTCAGGAACAAAGGCGGGTGCCAGTCGAACCCACTGCTCTTGCACGGCCATCCAGTTTGTGAGTATCTCCTAGAACACGAAATAGGTCATGTTCCACGGTGATTGGTAGCGAGCAACACCAACGGCAGAAAAGATAATGCGCACCATCACATGCACAAGTATGCTGATGTTTGTTCGCAGCCTCTAGTGGCTTTTCGGAGATTGCGGCTTCTAAACAATTGCCGCAACACGCGCGAAGAAGCCGATGTGGGCACGCATACCATCTTTATCGTCGATGTAGCTCGCGGGATACCATCGCGTGTAGCGTACCTGAAACCAAGAAATCCTCTTTTGCCACTCCAGAGCAGCTTGTCCGATATTTCCCACAGCCAGCAGCGGGGAAGGAGCATCAACAATGCTATCCACCACCAACCGGCAGTGTTCCGCAAGGCGCAGTAGTTCATCTCCGTTCGACAACAGTGAAGTGAATCCCTCGCTCGCTGGCAAATCACTGGCGCCTCCACTGCCACCGCCACCCACCCCCCCCGCTATGGTGCCAGTGCTGTACCCTTGCTGGACTAAGGCGGGCTCTGCTAAGACCCGCGAGTACAGCCGACGACGCCTTAGAGAGTCTGAGTCCACTGTCGGAGACTGCTTGGTGATTCCAGGGGCTGGGGCACCCTCGTTGAAACGCCACAGAAAAATCATCGGGGCTGCTTCCCACACGCTCTCTAGCTCCTGGTGTGGGTCGGTTGGTGGGCATGTCATGGAAGAGATGGTGTTGCGAGCCAGGGGCCGGGGTGCGTAAGGTTTCCCAGGACATTCTAGGTACTGCAAGGACTGCGTGCCGCTACGATGACGAGTGAAAACCGTTCAAGAAGGTTATTCGGCGAAACTGCTTCGGACTATGGAACGTGGAAGAAAACATCAGCTAGTGAAGAGTCCCTACGGTAAACTACGAATAGATTGTCACAGAGAGACATGTTGTCGGACACAGTGAGGCCTTTGTTCACACTCTGATTGCTACACAGACTTGATTCGATCCACGGAAAGTCGACTTGGGATTGTGCAAACCAGCCAGAGAATGATGTTCTGCCCTTGCGCCTGCTGTGGTTGAGACGCTACTAGATGAGAACCTAAGCACCATTCCATGTTTGACTATGCTTTGAGTTCTCGATTGAAAACAAGCTCGAGTCAAGTTACCATGAAGAACAATTCCCTTGGGAGAAATCGGTGCTACAACTGCGGAAGAGACCCGAAAACCGGGTACTGCATGTCTCTCATATGAAGACAAGCCCACCTCGAGTGTCTTGCGGAGCACGGCGCTAGCGGTCGCCTCCGCGGAGATCGAGCCTATCACCTTAATCTTCTCAAGTAACCCGTGGTTGAGCAAGGTCGCCAAAGACAACCCCCCCCACTCCGCTGCCATCGGGAACACCTACGTGGAGGAGCACAGCAGGCAGACGACAACAGAATTGGCGCGAAGTCATGGCGTTTTGTTTTTTACGAGCACGGAGAGGTATGAAGGATGTGAACATATACATGCGGACATGTCCTGCTTTTGCCCAATGCACCAAGCTATGCATAGGGACAAGCAATCGGCTTCACGACACAATGGGCGGCAACACGTCGTTTTCAGGGCTGGCACGTGCCACTTGACCAACGAGGCAGTTATAAACATAGCTTGAGCAAAGGCGGCGTTGGGCCTTGAATAAATATCTTCTCGTAGGGACTTCCTCGCGTCGCAATTGTTCTGGTGGCTGCCTGTCCAGCCACAACGAAGTTCGGGTGTACCGTGGCAGCTGGCAGTTACGTCGCAGAAATGTCTAGTCTAAGGGTCGATTCAAAACCTTGCAAATTGAGTGCCTTAGGCTCCGACACAACCCACCACTACAGTAACTCGCACTGACTTTTCAATGGCCCCCCCGGCGAAGCGCCTCATCATGGACTCGAAATTGATGTGTTCCTCTGACTGCGGGAAACACCCACGCGAAACTGAACGTAGTCCTTGGGTTTGAGACAAATATCGGTGTTATTTTTCCAGTACAGTGTTCACAGCAGTAATGTTCTGGAACCAACGGAGATATCTGCGATGATCGTGCCCTCATTCTTGCGAAACACGTGGCCAAACCGGCTTCTCGACCGATGCGCATACACTGTCTAAGTAGCATGGCCGCCAGGCTATTTTTGTTCATCATGCAACACACCTCGTAAACCTCTGCTCGCCGTCGCGCATCTCCTCGACGCTCACGCCCAGCCGCCGAGGACACGACTGCGGCCGCCTTACTGACCCTTAGCTTGCCGCCGGCGTCGAATTTGGGGGGAATCACCCGCGTTGCGACTGACGAAAACACTTTCGCGGTGCCAGAAGACGATGGTCCCGTGACCGAATCGGTAAGGTCAGTCGCTGCTGGATCCACAGAGTCTACCACTTCCGTTTTTTCGAACGCGGTATTTTCGCCGACTTCCGCTGAAGGTGGTTCCGCTTGGTTGAACGATTCGCCGTTGTTGTCGTTGATGTCAGCCGGTGGTCCTTTTTCTAGGCCGGCGGCATGTCTGAGGGCGGGCATGAACTCTTTTCGGGCTGCCCTCTTGAGGTCCTGGCAGCGGAAAAAGAGTTTACGGCCATGTCGATACGATATTGATGATGCTAGAGGAGGTGAAGAGATGTGAGAGTCATCGGTCTTGAATGCTTCAGGCTTGTTTGGGCGAACCACAAGGTGCATGATGATTGACAGGGAGAACAACCAGAGTACATGAGAACGTGCAAACTGTTTTCTTTCGCAGTCACAGAGCACTTTGCACTCACCTCTCTCAGTGGCATTGCCTGCTCCACCCTCTCCCAGTACGCTGCGGTCAGGTCTCGGTTATGCAGAAATCCAACGGCCTCGACCACCCTGCCAAGGTGCGCCAGGGTCGCCTCGCAAGAAGCGGAAACCTCGTCTGCGCCCCGGGCGGTTTCCACGGCGAAAGCGTGGGCGCGGACAGCCCGGGAAAGCTGGCTAGCCATGACATCGGCGTCGCAGAAGATGAGCGCGGAGCTTTCCCACTCTTGCCGGATATGGACGGCCGTTCGCTGGGCTTCCCACTTGAGAACCAGCTGTTGTGGGGGACCCATGTGTGAATAGTTGATGCGGTGGAAGAAACGAAGGGAAGCAAGGTTGTACTGGGAACGGGACCATGTGTCGAGCTTGCGTGGCATATCATGGCATCAGTATGGAAGTATCGTCTAGGCGCTGATTCCGAGGAACCTGAGGTGTCGGCGACGCCGCGACCTAGGGTGCTAAAAAAACACACACAAGACGTGGGACTAGTTGGAGCCATTTCGTCTATGAACGAAAAGGCCGTCGTCTGGAACGAGTTAGAAGCAAGCACGAGGTGTAACGCAGTGGTACCGCCTTGCGTCACACGGCCGTAGAGTAAATGTATTGACTAGAGGGCGAATACAGGCATGTCTAAGTTAGGCGAATACCATGCGGACAGGCATCGAACGCCTGGGATGGCCTGGGTACGCCGCCTTCCCCGTTCCTCATGATGGTGTGCTTCATACACAGACAGGATGCCTTCATGCACGCTACCAAGGCGCGAAGTTTGCTTCGAAAATGGGGGAAAAGCTGCTTCCACACCTGTCTCCTCTCAGCGCCGACCCGTTCAAGGACGAGTCGCATGTTTTCCTCTTCAAACTGGTTCTTGGCTCCCCCTTTCGCAAGCGTCCTGACCACGTCTTTGTCTAGGAACCCGCTGTAGTGGTGGTACCGAGATTGATCTTCCTGTGGCATTCAAGAAACCAGCCCAAACAAAATGAGGGTCACAGAGCTATCTCCAACTTGGTTGGGATTGGTGTTGTACGTGTTCCCGACCACATCTCTACGAGAAAACGTGAACGTCGGAGAAAAATGAAAGGGGGCACTTGCTGTAGGCAGATGCCGGGAAGGAAAAAGAAGGAAACGCCTCCGCGGTAGGATGATCCAAGCTGCGACATCCGGATCGACCAGAGCCTCAGAACATGTTTAGTAGTGCAATGAATGACCATCTCTGACCTGTAAATCGGCCAACCGTTGGCGGTACCCTTCCAACCGCGAGCAGGCTTTCGTGGGATCCGTGGAAGCGTTCGACAGAGCAGGATCCAAAATATCTGCCTCTAACCGATCGATGTCGCGGCTCAATGACTCCAATGCCTGGGATTCCCAGTGAAACGTGAGGGGTGCGATGTCGAGGGTGGGAAGCCATTGGCGCGGAGCGTTTTAGTTAGGTCTAATCTGACAGAGCATGGTGCGTGACGTCCTTTCGGTTGTCGTGACTTCGGAGAAAACGTAAGCAATCACTCGGGAAACACTCAGTGCGAGGACAACAATAAATCAAAGCAACATGACCTCGGGTGGAGTATCGACGGTTGCGTTTATACGGTAAAACTCAGGTGACCGGTGCCCGTGAAAAATGTAACCACGCTGGAAGCTTGCAAAAGAATGCGCCCTCGTGTGGAATAGATCAATCGCGCTATCACATTCCATCGTCTTGTCAGGTAACTACACTACCGGACTGCCACACCAGCAGATTATCAGACAAGCGGAAGAAAGAAAACCAGGCGCGAAAACTTAGGACGTCTTGTCTTTACACTTTCAGACGAGCTCAACACCTTCCTCAGGAGAGAAGAAAACTCCTGGCTCGCGATGCGCATGTTGATGTGCGCCTGGTCTACCGAGCGCTGGAGAACGACCAGGTGAAAGCCGACATTTTCCGTCGCCTCTCGCGTCTGGTTCTCCACCGCTCGGAAATCGTACCCGCCCCTGTCGTCAAAGAAGCCACACGTTTTTCCAGCAGGCCCCCGAGAATCATTGTTCTTACCACCGTCGTCTGGCGGCGGGCCGGTTTGCTGCTCGCTGCCGGCAACACCGTTGGTTGGCGTTGCATCTTTTCCGTTTCCATCCCCTCGCGAGGTCTTCGTTGGCGAAAATGCCGTTATTCCTGCCGGTTTGCGAGCGGTCACCACCAAGGGTGGCGATCGTGGCATCGATGAGCCGTCGCCGTTCGCGGGCACAGGTCCACTGCCTGTCTTAGCCGCCAAGCGGGGTGATGGCCAGGCATCGAAGCACCCAATCTTTTTCAACAAAACTCCAAGCTCTTGGAGCTTCTGAACCTCGTCGCGCAACTGCCACAGCCACTGCCCTATCTGGCACAAGAACACCGCCTGCAAGCAGGTTGATGCACAATTGCACGGAGGTTGCGGTTGGAGATTAGAGACTCCCCGGAATGTCAGAAAGAATCAATACGGGAGGATAAGCATGTCTCGTCGAACAGTTATTACGGGGAGTCAAGGTTACCCTTACAGTACAGTGCTGGAGCTATCACAGCTTTTTCAATGTTCGGGGGGTGTCTCCGACTGTGACCTCAGAGTTCCTCTAGCGAACCAACCTTCTCGCCAATGGCATCCACCCCTTGGAGTCCACCGCTCAGTATTGCGTTGCATCGGCGGAAGACCGCTCCTAGAATTGCCGTAGCATTTAGCATTAATCGTGGCCCAATCAATCGAACATCCTCGAGGCACTTCTCGGGTAGAGCCTGCATTCAATAGATAATGAGACGTTATCATCGCTTCAACTGAAAATGTGTGGTCCCTTCGGAGGTGAAAGCGTGCGTTTCGTAACCTGCCGACACGCCAAACGTTCCGGCGACAAAACCGTTCTCGCCACCTTTCCCGTTGTAAACTCCGTGCGAAACGATCAAAGCGGGTAAGTTCGCTTCTGCCGCCGTCTAGATAGCCTATGCCATTATCTACGCGACACGTGCGAAGACAACAGAATGGAACAACGGCTAAAAAAGAGCGTGAATAGCCTAGAAACGATATTTTTTCGTTGTGTGGCAAGGCACCACGTGATGTGCAAGTTTCGGGTTTGGGAGAGCCCCCCAACCCAATCTAGGTAAGTCAATGGCAAAGTCGGCTGTCTGTTTCTCCCTGTCGTTCATTGTGGCTCACCACGAGGTAGGCTATCAAGTCCGTCGCGTTTATCGATAGCAGTGCTTGCGGGCTGTCGATCTGGGTGGCGCGAACAGTTTGCCGGAAACGTTCGAACCTCGAGTACCAGCTATGGAGCCATTCCGTAGTGGGCTTGGCGAGCAAAACCTGTCAACGCGGTGTGATGATATCGGTCGACGGTCCGGGTGCGTTTAGGGGTGCCACTCTTCGCTTCTCGACGAGTACGGCTTTTTGAGAGTGCCTGTCACAAGACTTCCGTTCGTTCCAAGTCCCGTGCATCGTGCCTCTGAGCCAGGCGACGGCCAACTCGGCAGAAGTGCAGACCGGTCGACCACGAATGGCAATGGACGCAAGCTGTAGAGTAAGTCGATAACGATTGGATTGGTCGACTCCATGATGCGCTGAACGTTCTCCGCGCTGCCTCGATCTCGTTTCCTATCTCACGATCGCCAACGGCATGCCTTTCCCTCAGCGATTACAGCCGTGTGAACACACGAACACCTCTCTGTTGCACATGATGATACGGCGATCCTAATCGCCAGAAACATGAAGGTTATCCGCAGTTTATTCCAGCACTGCCCTTCATCGCCGCTCACAAGCCTTTAGCTAACTCCGCCATGGTAACGACAAACCGTATCAGCGTCTACGTTGGTGATCACGTCGAGACTTTTATGTTTATATCCTGGGAAAAAAACTCACCGGGGAGAGGTCGAGACTGCCCGCCCTGCTCCCTGTTCTCTTTGCGGAGGCTATCACGTCTGCCGCGATCGCATCGGGATCAGAAGTACCCTGCAGTCTTTCGTACTCCCTGTCCCTCTCATCTGTAAACGTTCCTAGAGCCTGATCGAAGGACGATTACGAAAATGGCCATCACGAGGCATAGGTTATTCCTCGACCTTTTCCGATTCAGCCTGGTTCGAACAACGGGCAATCGAGCCCTACGATTCCAACGAGTAAGATTTTCAATAGTATGTTCAGTGAGTAGTGGTGTAAGTCCTTCGTACTCCGGAATATTTGATAAGCATGTTGGTCGTTCATCGCCAATGCAGCTTCACCTGAAACTCCTGCAGTAGAGGTCGAAACCCGTTCACCATGCGGTACACTGAGTTGTGGCTGGACGCGAGCGACAAGAACACCTGATAGACAATAGGGCCAGACGGTGTCGAAGGCCCGCATGCGCGATCCAGAGCAGCACGTGCGACGAGATTCAGCAACTTTGACATATTCATTAACAGTTGCGGCATTTTTAATTTTCTTTCGTACGTGACGGTAAGGCGTTGAACGCGTGATAGCGAGTCGCTTGCCCTCCTTTTTCCTTTCCTCGTGACTGCTCATGCACAAGAGAGACTATTTGCCGACGTACTGCTGTCACCTTATCTTGCAAACCACGGTAGTAAGGGTCTTCGGAAAGGTTCTGCAGCCAATCGCACTCGTCCATGGGTCCCTCAGCAAGCTGCTCCATCCTCTCCGTGGTTTCCGCCACACTCCTCCCCCCTGTATCCTCCCAAGATGTAGAGGTGTTCTCTCTCTCCGACGCTGCGCATCCATCGGTCGATGAACCGATGGTTCAATGTTATAGTTTTTGAGGCGGTGACGTACGTACGAGCCAAAATGCGTGCAAGGGAGCAATCTGAAAAATAGGAACCGCATCGACTGCAAGACATCGAGACCCTTCGCAATGCCTCGAACGAACCAATAGCGTTGGGACATCTTTGTATTGCCGCCGCTGCGTAGCAAGCAAAAATAATACATACAGTATTCTCACCAATGTCTTCATCACCGCCTTGCGGTAGCTCGAAGCCCAGTCCGTATCCTTCAACCATTGTCTGGTACGGCTTTACATCGGGGTGCTCTAGGATGCATGGGACTCGCGCAAGAGTGGTCAGCACCTGCACTTGAGCTTGTTTGGCGCGGCGCACGAAGTCTTCTAGAGGCGGGAACACTTGCAGGTCCCATTCCTCGAAGTTTCCGCGGATGTCGACCTAGCAGAATGATGGGCCGGGACAAGGGTTCCAGTTTTACTCGGAAGAAGGTGGTAGAGGTGAAAGCATCCGCTGTTTCCGGACATATGATACCGTGTTTGTATGAAGCGCGTTGCGGAGAATCGTACATCAACATGGATTGATACTACCTGATGGATGGCAATACTCTATTTCTACGTGGCGCCGACACAGAACGGGATCTTGGCGGAAGTTGTAGCACGTAGGGGACGTCTACGATTGCCCCGGAGGACTTCTCGCCAGAATATTGGAGTAAACGACAACGTCGTCCTACGTACGAACAAGGTCAAAAGTACTTGTCATCACACCGAACCAACTCCACATGCCCCACTTACGTATCCTCATGCTCATGGCATGCATCAGCGTTCACCTTAAGACTGATCCCGCCGCAGGGGCCGGTTCTGATGCCGTAAATCTCAGACAGATGCTCTGGTCTCATCGATGTTCCTGTGCGCGGAGGATGGGCTGCCACCCCCGCCCCTGAGAGCGAGTCAGTATTACAATGTGCGTCCCACATACTGGCGTCCAGCACGGTCGGGTTTCGATGGTCCTTGTTCTCATAGATTGGCCTGCTTGTTGTAAGGATTCACGGCGGGTGACAAACAGTGAGAGGGGATATCAACGTTGTAATACGTCGAAATAGAGAGCATGACGTGGACATTGACGCATTGTGAGCAAACAACCGGTGTGACGAGGGATCAGGACAACGTTGTGCCGCCCACTCGGTTCCGCGCACCAGGATGGCGGTTATCTATATCCACGTGGGCTCCACCACACCACCCCAAAGCTGAAAGCTACTTCGCGCCCATCTTCCAACGAAAATCAAATAGTATTCCAATTCAGAGGAAACTGTAATCGACTTGCTTCTTACAGCTATTTTTTCGGGCACTCTGTGAACAGGTAAGGGCCCCTACAGGATGGTGCGTCACCCCATTCTGTTCGCATGTGTTTCCATCGTTATGAAGTCCGGGGCACCAAGCAAACTCCAGGACTGCGCCAAACAAGCAGCTGGCTTCGACGTTGTACGCCCCGCTCACCGAGCGTGTTCGCACTGCTTGTTTTCGTCCGCGGCTGGTCCCGACACCATCAACCCCTCCCCCTCGCCGCCTTCCTCCTCGGAGAAATCGGAAGAGACCTCGCTAAGCTGAGCGTCAATACCGCCAAGACATGCAGCGCTCAGCTTCAGCGCTGCCGATAAGAACACGTCCTCTGTTACACCCTTCTGCTCGCCACTAAACCTGCCCAGGTCGTGGTTGAGGGGTGATACTCATGTGGTCGTTTTTGTGATCATTGTTTAAAAATATTCCCCAGATTCCGTTCAAGTCGGGCGATATACCGTTCTACTTCGAACAGAACTCAAGCCACATGCTCTCTATTCACTTCGATTCTAACCACCTCGTCTTCGGCAAGTCAAATACTTCTTTTCTGGCGTCGATACGCGAACCTCAAGAACCACGGCCAAGGGTGGCAAACACCTGTGCGTGATGGGGAAGAATTCCTCTCCACGCAAGTTGGGCGTAATTTCAGCCTCGAACGTTTCGATGAGCACTGGCTTTGCACCGAGAGGGTGCTTGATCGCGAGAGTCTCCGTTGCGTGCGGGATGAGCTCACAAGCCAGCTGAATTGCCCGAGGTACCGACAAGCAGTTGTCCTGGACAGAAATTCTGCTGCAAAAGTTGAATCTGGTGAAAGGGCGGGAGAGACGAGACGGGGACGTGTAATTGCTTGCCATGTTTGCTGGACATTGCCCGCATGTCTAGCCGCGTGTCTATTTCGAGGTAGAGGGGCATTCCCACTCCCTCTTTCGCCTGATACCGAAAGCCTCGTAACGAGCTATTATCTTCTACGGAGTATTGTAACCAACGAGAAGAAATTTCTCGAAACCAAGAAAGGTCCACGTTCGGTCCCGCCTCTGCACCATCCAAGACTCAACGAATTGCGAACAGCTCAAGCCATTATTTCGTGGTCATATGGTTCAACGCCTTCGTACGAATACCTCGATGAAAAGACATGTCACACCGATCATCCTATGGCTTCCCTTGCACCTAAAGAAATGCCAGGCAACACGTTGCTCTTGGGTGGGTATCCACAAAGGCACGCCCGAGCCGCGGTACTGTTTCACACCTGCTTGGAACTAGAGAATCTCGCTTTCCGCCTGTCGAAGTGACGGCCTCCCGGAATGCCTTCCGCCACTTCACGACGAGGTCCGCGCCCTCCTCCGCGCCGGCTTCCGATCCATCACCGGTAGCGTCCTCTAGCAAGGATGCTTCGAGTGCGAGCGTGGACAGGTCCGCCATGTCCCCTTCGTCCACGGCCAGCGCCCACCGCTTATTCCACGAGTCGCACGGGCGGGCTTCGTGCCTCAGGTTTCTCCTCCTGCGGACCACCAAGTGGCGGACAACGTCGGCGTCGCCATCGTCATCGTCGCCGTCGCCTTCTCGCCCCCCTTGCTCCTGGTCGCAAACTCCAGGTTGCCTGGGTTGCCTCCGCTGCGTTGGGGGTCCTTCCGCTTGTTGGCCTCCCTCCCTTCCTCGAGAATCAAAGCCGCTACGGCCCGCGCGTGGCTGCTCCCGTTGTGTTCGCTCCCCGGCTGCTGCTCTTCCACGAACGATACCATCAGCGTTGGCGGCTCCAGTTCCCCTCTCCTCAGGCACCGCCACCAGTCTCCTCGCCACGGCGCCGAGCAAGCGCTCGCCGTGATCGAGAGCGAGCCCACGAAGCTCTTGTCGTATCCTTTGGCGAGCAAAGCGGAAGACACGGGCTATTCGCGCGCATTCGTACCTCTGGCGGGCGGCGAAGGACCACGACGTTGGCGGTTCGACGGCGCTGCGTTCGTCATCGTCGTTGTCGATGTCGCCGCCGGCTTTGCGAGTAGTGGCCTTATTGACGGTAGACAGCAGCACTTGCTCAAGGGATGGACGGCGAGCGGCGATGGCGACAGAAGAAGCTTGGTCATCGCTCTGTAGGCCGGTGATAGAAGACTCCTTGTTCGGAGAACCACGGTCCCGCGGGCGATGGACCGATGGCATCTGCCCGGGCCGGGAGCCAGGGTGGAGGCGATCAAGGGGTCGGGGGGGTCATGAGTCTTGTGGGTGGTGAAGAAAAAACTATGTTCATCGCCACAAGAATGCTGTGGGGAAGACGTGTCCGTGACATATCGCGTACAGAGAAACCATACCTCAAATTTGGGCAGTTTCGCTGAGAATATCTAAAGGTTGTAGGCTCTTCCTAGCCCACGTTACGAAGAACTTGTTTCCCACTCTTGAGTGCTTCAGCAAATCTTGTTAACATTTACAGTCTGTGCTTCCTCCGCGCCCCTCGCAATGAATGGTCTTGAGGTAGCTGGCTGCATGGCCACGCGCAATTACCTCGAGGTAGTCTCACCCGCGAATTTCCAAACAGTTGGGCCGTTGATCATTCGCTAAACCATTCCCACGATGTGCGGCACTTGCCTGATTCCAAGCCCTGTTCATGACCAGCAACCCCTCTGCCTCCAGATGTTTTTTCGCCATTCGGCCGAGGATCTGGCCGCACCTGGAAAAATTCAAACAGGAGTCTTTGCCCTTGGTTTTTCATGTCTGGATGTGAGCATTGTGCGGCGCAATCATTCGCTCTTAGCTATAATTCGTTGGCAGTGCTGCTCCGGTTCCTTATCTCCGATGCTGAGCATAAAGCACTTTTGGAGGGTTGGTGGTGTAGGATGTATCCTACGTTGCGTCGAGAGAAGGAAGCTACAATCGACAGACCATGCAAATGAGTCCTTGTGCCACGCAGAATTTCCTGGCGTGGCCGACCAGGTCTATGAGAGCGCTCACCTGTCGTACACATCCATGACCTCGCGCTCGCACTTCACCGTGTTCCTGATATTTTGGCGGAAAACGAGAGGCATTCCGCTTTAGAAATACGTATCTTAGATAAATGGCCAGAACTATATTACGGGGATTGTTTTAACATGGCTGGTGGGGTATACCATGTGTCTCGACCGAGTCCTTGTTTAAAATCCACGGTACGCAAGTACCATTGTTGGTTGATCTAGCTCCCAAGAAAGAGGGTGTGATTCACGAACGAACTCATTATGTATCCGCTCGACCGTGATTTATCGAGCCCAACCAACTGAAAGCAAGCCACAATCATTGTCTTTTCACTTTGGTAACTCTGCCCCACGGGGGATTGATTTTTTGTACAAGAAATGGAACCCCCCAGCGATAATGGTACCCTCTTGTTGAGTCTCGCGTGCAGAAAAACTCGAAATCTTGTACTTTGGCAACCTTCTCACCGGGCTTGCTCATCGAAGAACTCGTCCAGCGTGTATTCCGCCGTCGCGCCCTTCTTGGCCGTCACGAAGCATAAAGACTGCACCCGTTCAAGCTGCACCACGATCTCTTGGATAGCAGAACTAATCCACCACGTACCGTGTGGCACCGGCCAGAGTGCACCCCAACAAGAAATCGATTGGCAACATGTCGACGCCAAACGAAGGCGGTGACAAGAATGAAACTCGGATGGGAGGTAGAAGACACGGTTGCCACTGCCACTGTTGTACTCTGCGGTTTGCTCCGAACTTGCCTCTGTATATATGTGCTTACGTGGGGTTCATAGAGGAAAGGCAGCAGCAGACACCATGTACGTTGGTTCTATAAGAACACTCGACGATACCAACGGCGCCAACCTCCACGCACACCGTGCCCGGGTCCTACACTTTGCCGTGCGCAGCCGTGGACGCACCTATACACAGCGTCGAGGGTAATGAGACCTCTCTCGACACCATCCTTAAGCTGGTTTACCCGCTTCCTTCCGACAAACGTTGTGATCGCTCGAACATATTTCCAGGCGGGGTAGCTGCGGAAAGAGAGTGACGTTCCGCCGGGTTGTCCGGAAGCAAGGGATGCCAAAAGGCCGAGATAGATCGGTGTGTCGACAGAAATAACGGCGATAGGCATTAATTAGTGATGAGAAATGATACATGTTCCACGTTCACCTCTTTGTAGTGATCACGCGCTACAACAGTGATATGGTAGAAATTCCAGGGAGCAGAACGCTGGCTTCAGCTTTGATCGAGAAATGAGCACGAATTCTGCACGTATCCACCCAACACCTTGAGCTCCGGACGGCTTTGTTCATGAGGGGTTTCTACGGGCGACCAGCTGTTCGACACAACGTTCCGAAAAACAAACGCTACCTGCGTACAAATCTCATCCGGCTCAAGGTATCAAAGCGCTCCTTTTCCTTGCTCCATTGGTTCAGCGACTGAAAGGTCGTCTCGCCATGAACGTTGACGTACGTGACCCCGTCCGAGCAAATGTACGCCCTTTCGATATCTCTGCAGTCGTCCTGCCCTTGCTTTTCCTCCACCCACAAGGCTGGTCCCGGAGAACCCCGCTGTTCCGCGCTTCCCCGCCGGTGATTGCCTTGAGGAGGGCAGGATGCCTTTTTCCATCGTGGTAATCGTTCTCCAAGTGAATCTTCGCTACTCGAGTTGCCAGAAGTCTCTCCGTCATCGTCGGGCATGCCTTTCAAGTCGTCCCTCCGTCCTGCTCCCAGACCCCCGTCTACCTCCCGGCTCACAATCCGTAGGTGATACGGATTGTACCGGCGGGAGGGGTCGTCCGCGTGGATGGGAACCGCGACAAGTGAGATCGTTGCTTTAGGAATCAGCAAAGGTGGGCGCTGTGAAGAGTGCGCTCCCCCTGTCTCTTGAGCGGGAAATTTCGCTGTGGCTGCTGCCAGTGAAGATGCTGTTGCGCTTGACGCCGCCTCCGCCTCTGCTGCCGCGGCCGCCGAAGCGAGGAAGCAGGCGATTTCACGGTCTCCCGCGAACTCGTCGTTTCCAAACAGTGTGCGAGCCAGGTTGTCGTTTGCTAGTTCGTGTTTCCCGTGGACGGCAGTGACACTTCCTTGCCCCCATAAAATTTCCAAGAGTTCAGCAGGGTCCTGGTTGTTAAGTCGGGGCAAGAGATGGGAGATAAACGGTGGTCCGTTGGCCACTATATGACCCGTTCCAGGTGTACGTCTGTCGTTGAGTGGGTTGGGGCTGTCATCACGTCGCCGATTTTAGTTCATGGTGTACACCTACGGACTCTGAGCTCGAGTGCTAACCTCATGCACAATGTACCACGACACGCATTGAATCCAACGTTTGCGCTAGGATTGGCGACTGGATACTGAATCCTGACGCGGCCTAAGTCACTAATGATACCGAAAAATTGTGTACACATGCAACGCCGGCCCACACGACCAGCCGATCCCATCCAACCAACCTTGCTTGTACCGTGCTGTCCACTTTTAGCGTCTGATGACGCCCAATGCTGTTCGCATCGGGCATTCGATGAGTAAGCTGTTGGAGGATCGTGCCACGAGGCGCCACCAAAGTAGCTGTCTTGGGCCGTATGCGGTCTGGGGGAGAGGCTGAATGCCCAATCTACTTCGTTGTCTTGACTGGTGGCTCTCCATTCAGCAGCAAAGGCGGTAGAGGGAGTCGGGTTTCTGGCTCTGCCTCGCGGACTTAGAATGACGGTGGACGAGAGTACCACCGTCGCGCCTCGGTCTTGTCCACCTGCTGATTGACAGTCTCCGTCTGCAGGATGATAATCTGCCGCATTCTGGGGTGTGGAGGAGAACGGGTTGGTGACCAGCTCGCTTTCGGCTGTGTACGCCCCTTTCTGCCCCACCACTACTGTAGTGCCTTGGTCCAACCTGGGCTCCTCGCAACGGACGACCCGACCATTGTCTTCTTGATCGTCGTCTTCTTGATTTCCGTCGCCGGTTGGAGTCGACGTCACTCTCCTTCGAAGTGTCCGTTGCCCAACATCGGCGTACGACAGCGGGGTCCTTTCCTTCTCGACCGTGGGCCGGAGCGGGTACATTTGCAAAGGTTGGAGTTGTTCTTGTGTTTCGCTGGGGCAGTTGATCTCGAGTCCAGCTGTTGGCAGAACCTCGTAGTCGTCCTGGTGATCGGTGCTCTCGCCCGCGTTTGCATCCCTGCTGCCTGTTGCGGTCGGCGGCGCGGACGACGACTTGATCCGCCGGCCACCAGAGTACGTTGAGTCCCTTAGCAGCTGCGGCTTGCCTGCCTGGTGCCGTTGATTCGAAGCCGTGGCAGGGCGCCGAGGGTATGTAGCCATAGGTGCTCGAACGCCAGCGTACTGCCCTTGTTTCGCCAACGAAGGTCGTAGCGAGACCGCTGCGAGGCCGTCCGCGCCGGGGGGGAGCTTCGGTACTTCCCTGGACCGCTGCTCAAGTGTAGGACCTGTCATACGGTCACAGCATCGCCGCTGCTTTGGCTTCATTCTCCTTCTGAGGGCTCGTTTTGCTTTGCGGCCGTTCTTCAACTGACTCGGTGTGCCCCACATCGTTGATATCTTTGTGTCGCCATCGTCGTCCAAAGACGGACACTCAGCACCCACAGGAGGGTTGAACACATCCATGGTTTCACCGCTATCGTTTTCGACAAGTCGCTGCGCGTGGGTCCCTGCAAGCGCTAGTGTGCGCACGGAACGAAAGCGATGAGAACAACATGCAGGCCGTCTAGCCTGTGCATCATGACGTTCGCGAAGTTTGCGCAAGATCTTTCGCTCTGTGGGTTGTTGTAGCGGTTGAAAAACAAAATGCGGCGTTACCCTCCCCAAGCGGACCCCTCCCTGGTCCTGCAAGCTGTTGTGCCCCCGGCAGTCGGCTATTGGCGGTGCAACCAACCACACCAGCAACTGCTGTAAACAAGTTGTGTGCGGCTGTATTGCAAGTCTGTCGTGGGTTCACCTTCGAGCGGGGTACCCCTCGTAGCCTCAAAGCTACTTGGCAAGCTGGGTTTGCCCGAAGGACTCTCCTGCTGGACGCATACGTACTTCTAATGGAAGGTCGACTGAAGCAGAAGCTCCAGGGCGAACATGGGTAAGAGGGGCAAGAACTATCCGTCCACTTGCACGACCCACCTGCGATGCACACGCCCCTCCCTTTTCCCGAGCCTGTCGCCATTGCCTCAGCACAACCCTCGTGTTGGAGCTAACAGAGATTTGGAGTTACTGTTCGTATAAAACCCTTCCGAATGAATGGGCCCGTGCAGGGTTTTGTGCTGGAAGAGTAGGAACTTTGTCCTTGGATCTCGTGGCCGGTCTCTCCAGATAACGGACGATGGATACGGACCGAATGATCCATCGGATGGTGGGCCCGGTGATGGTGGCGCTAGAACATCTGTGACCCATGTGAGTACCATTGTGGCGGCACGAAGTATGTGATTTCTTTTGTAAAGACGCCGGAGCTTTCACGCAAGACTATGTACATATTATCCCGATCGCTAGGATACTGCTCCGGCGGTGTATTGGTGTGCTGATTGCATGTTGGAGCTGGCGTTTGTGTTCACACAAACACCTCTACACAACTCTACACAACGCCGTCCTTCAGCAGAAACCACCTGCACAAAGAGAAGTCAGTCTTCGACGGCAGCCACCTCGCGCCCTCACGAGGAGATGTTTTTCCACGGCTGCGCCATCCCTCTTGTGCACGCACCAAAAGGTGTCGTTAGAAGGCGCGCGGCACGCGGCGGCCTGGAGCGGCATCGACGCCTTCAACGGGTGCGGCTTCGACCTCGTCTGGGCTAGCGGCCGCACGTGGTCGTTGCTGTGCGACAATTCCTTCAGCAGGAAGTCATGGGTGGGATTTGGTCTCGAAAGAAAGCAAACTTGTAGTAAAACACTGTATATAGGTTGCTTTAGATACCACACCCCTGGACCGATTCTTCAAGGGGCGATTGCTCTAGGATGCCACGAATCAAATGGTCACGCTTTCGGAAAGCGTTCGACGAGACGGTTCTAACGCCGTCATCGGCACCATGACTGACGTATGGTATCTTATGCAGCGTATGCTACACCCCAGATCGTCTGGTGGGTGTGTTGGCCTGTCATGTTCAGTAGCTCGACGACATACAGAGGGGGCCCCTGTTTAGTGCCGGTATGTGCCCAGAAAATTCACCCGCACTATACCGGGACCGTCACTATGCAAAGTACTGACAATGACTTGGAAATGCAGCGTGTGCGCGCCTAAAATACCGGCACTGTACCGGGCATGGGCACTATTCAACCAGCACTAAACGAGGACCCCCTCTGTGCTCTTCTTGCTGTGGCTGTTTGGCTGCTAGCTTTTGCGTACTGTACGATATTGTAGTGCCCGCACTCAAGAACCTCTACAACAGCCGAGGCTGAGGTTCTTATTGCTCAGGGTCAGGCTAGAATGGTTTTCTTTTCGATTTTACTGTTAATTCACATGTTTTGATCAAATAGTGAGCATGAACTTAGCTGCCAAGTTCCTCCAGCTGAATAAGGACACAGATGCATGCAGCTCCGCACCTGCAAGTCGAGTCAACCTTTGGACAGCTGCATACCAACAAGCATTCCTGCTGTTCTGTTCGGCGAGGAGTAGCTCGATTTCTGAGTGACCCCACACCCCGTGACCTTGATTCACGAGGATCATCTTGTCCTAGGTTCCGATCTAAGGTGTGAAGCGTATAGAGGTAGAATTTTTTTCTCATACAGAACGGCAACTTTTTCCCGCCAGCCAGCACGAGACCTTTATTTTTCAGCTCGCTCCCCGTGATCGCTCCTGTGGAAACAATGCTCCGTCCTCTCAAGGACATGTGTGTGAGTGTCTAACAGATAGCTAAGGCTTGCAAACCATGAGTACGCCCCCTCGCGCGCGACCTTATTCGATATTTCCTCAGGTGGATGCCCTCAACCTGGCCATCAGATCCACGGCAAACACACCGGGTGATATAGACGCCATCGCTTCCGGGGCAGGTCAGCGAAACGTCTCGCCCAGAGGTCGCGGCCGCACTTCAGGCACGACAGCCGCTCGCCGTCGGCACCCTCCCGACGTCGTCCGCCCCCACTCTCCTCTGGCGGCGGGAGAACAAAGCTTTCGACTTCCGAGACATTCCTCCGTCAGGCCGAGCGCCCAGAACACTGGCCACCATTCTCCTCAATCAGGGGGAACGAGGGGAAGCCGGCGATATGGCGACCGCTGGTCCTGCGAGGACCGGACGCCGCCCGGCGATGGAGCTGTCGTCGGCGCGTTGGTCCATGACGTCATCGCTCCCACGGAAGGCGAGCGGCATAATCACCAGCGGCGGGAAGGGGCAAGTCGCACCGCCGGGCAGCACGACGGACCGTACCCGTCCGATGTGTCGAGGCCAGCGGAGAACGGGGTCTTCCCGCCGTCGCTGACCGGTGGCGTTTCCGGTGCAAGAGGCAGCGACGAGGGCAGGGGCGGGGGCGGGACCGTCGGGAGCATGGACAGCAGCGGAGGTGTCTGGAGAAGGGGGAGGAGCATTGCTAGGGAGAGGAGCGAGGAGTTGGCGAGAGCGAGTGCCGCCACCTGGGAGCACTTTCAGCAGCTGCTGGAGAGGTCTCGCGAGTCAAAGGCCCGCTTCGACAGGGTGATGGATGGAACCGCAGCGGGGGTCGTCTCCTCCGCCACGACGAGTAGCGGCAGCCTGAGCGCTTCGGCCGTGTCGGAGCCGTCGTCTTCGTCGAGTCAAGCCGGCGACAGGAAGGCCGGTGCGGGCGTGGGTGTTGCTCGACGCAATACAAGGACCGGAGTACCGCCAGTGGGTTTTGAACCGATGGAACCGCCTAGAGTTCCCAAGGTCGAAGCGGCGGCGGTGGGAGTAGCTGGTACAGCCCGGCGTAACGGCAGTATGGCAACCAGCGTGGGGAGCTCATCAACCGACCGCGTATCAGACGTCTCGACACCACGATTGCGTCCCACCAGGGCCAGTAGCAATGGGGGGAGATGGCGCGGTGGCGATGGAGGAGGAGGTGACAGAAGAACACGCGCTGCCGCCAATAGCGACACGACTCGCCGCGTTTCTCGTGCACAGAAAAACGTCACCGCGGATGGCGTTTCTTGCGGCGATGGCGGCTACTGCACGGCGGACTCGGGCGTCGACGCGGACGAGGCTGCCCCCGCCCCCCCGTCCGACCACGAACACGAACGAAGCTGCCTCTCGGCGGCAGTGACGGACGTGGAGATCAGCCTGCTGCTGGAAGAAAGTTCTGCGGAAGGTTCCCCCTCCGTCAGGCGAGACGGTCGGTCGACGACCAAAGGCAGCAGCAGCAGCAGCAGCAACGGCGGCGGCGGCGGCGGCGGCGGTGGCGGGATCGCCAGAAGAAGGGAGACTGCGACCACTACCACCGCCACCGCCATCAACGATCGCGTCCGGCGGCTCGGGGTGGACCTGACGACAGCGCGACAAGAAGCCACGGCCGAGGCTGCCACCGCCTCAGCGGCGGCAGCAGCAGCAGCGCGGACGGTAACAGAGGGCAGCATCCGGCAAAAGCCACCGTCGGCGGTGGTGTACCCTGACGGTGGCGGCGGCGGCGGCGGCGACGACGACGGCAACTCAGACTGTGAGCGGCTCAGGAAAGAGTTAGCAGCCTTGAGAGCAACGGTGTCGGAAGAGCGGGAGCAGAGGCGGGAAACGGCGAACCCGGTGGCGGCGGCAAAGGCGGCGGCGGCTGAGCGGGAAAGGGACCGGGAGGAGGAGGAGGCGGCTGCTGCTGCGGCCGCAATTCAGAGTCAAACGGAAGTGAGGCTGGAAGAGGCGCTGGCGAAGGCGGACAGAGAGCGAGCCGAGGCCGTACGGCAGAGGGAGGAGCTGGAGAAAGCTCTCGCTGGGGTAAAGGCGTACTACTGCTGCTTCCGTTTCTTGTTGCCTCCTTTGCCACCACCTTTTTTGTTTTCAGAACTTGTGTCTGCACCCCCCTTGTCTCTCTGCGCCGGGAGTGGTTTACCTTACCACATGGTCGAAACGTTGGATGGTCTCCATGGTGTTCTCAATGTCGGAAGTCAAAACCACCGACCATACCAACAGCACGATCCAGAGCGCGTCAATACGTATCCACGGTGTACTGACCTCACATCAACCTGAGGCGTACTGGGTCAGAGATAGCGTTACAAGTAAGGTGTGAAACCTAGTGAACGTGCGACCAGCCTGGATAAGGGCTGCCGAGTCTTGCTGTGTCAGCCGTTGCTTTCTTTCGACTAAGCCGTACGGTCGCCTCCTTTGGCCTGTCGACCACAGATCAGCGTGAAACTTGGCCACCGCGGGCGCACTTGCCTGCGCCTCTCTCGCTGAACATGTAGAAGTGTCTCTTGTGCGGATGACAGACTCAACCATGGGTCGCTTACTCTTTCTGCGGTTGGCACAACATGCACGGACCCTAGTTTTTCAGGCAGTCGGCCTGTGGCCACGGAATGTCCGATTGGAACGAGTGCGGATGTTGGAAGGGGCTGGGCATGTAAACAGATGGGAGTGCTTCATATGTGGTGAAAGCAACAGCAACAACTTGGATGTCCACGTAAATTCAGAGGAACAAGAAAGAGCGCGCAGAAATAAAATAAGGAGCTTTACCCATCGTGCGCAACCGCAAAAACAACAACAACAACAACAACAACAACAACGACAACAACGACAACAACGACACAAAACGCAGGAGATCGGCGAAAGGCGCCGAGTGAACAGCCTCTTGGAAGCGCGCTCTAGGTCGGAAAGTGCGCTTCGCGAGCGCCTGGGAGCCACGGCTGCGGATGGCGACCTCAAGGCTCGCCTCACGTCGACGCAATCCCAATTGGAAGCGGTTTCCTTGGAGAGGGATACCTTGGTAAGTGTGCGGCGTGTGCTTGCTTTCTGATTCACAGCTCGTGTCCGTTCTTGTGGGAAGTTGCGCCGGCATGGGTCGTTGTTTGGGGGGGGGG